CACCCCTAGGTTTTTAATGTGTGTGTTCTCACTCTTCATAATTTTAAACTAATCTGTAATTGCATATTAGATTTATTTTTATTTAGAAAGATTTCTTAATCATCAAGTAGTTTTATATTAGTTATCTCTTTTATAATTAATGTATAGCTTTCCAATTTTAGGGTCAAAAACTATGGCCTAGGCCCTAGATTTCCATTCATCAGAATTTGATAAGAGTTTCTTTGTGGCTTAAAGTATTTTAGTATTTGTATATATTCTTAGACTTTAGAAAAGATGCATACGCCATGGTTTAACTCTATGTACTATATATGTGTTTTCTTGCATTATCCAAATCCTCTCTCTCTCTTTTTTTTTTTTTTTTTTAACTTTTGGCTACACTGCACGGCATGCAGGATCTTAGTTCCCTGATCGGAGATTGAACCTGTGCCCCATGCAGTGGAAGCACAGAGTCTTAACCACTGGGCTGCCAGGGAAGTCCCCCAAATCCTCTCTTTTCTATTTATTTTTGGTCTATGAGATCTGTCCATTTCTTAGAGAAATGGGTTAAATTTTTAAAAATACATTCTTCTTTTATTTCCACTAGTTATTTATTTAAATATTTTGGTGCTATAAATTTACACTTTGGAATTAGCAGATTAGGGTTTGAGTTCCATGTCTATCACTGTGTGTCAGACACTGAAAACACCTAATCTCTCTAAAGCCTAGTTCCTCATCTGCAAAATGGAAGTGTTAACCACAGTCACTGTGTAGTGTCGTAAGGATCACTGTAGAAAATCCTCAGCTGAGTGCTTGACATATAGTGAGTGTACAGTAAATGTCTGCTATCCTTCCAAGTCAATTGGTTTTATTGTTCTATTTACTTTTTAATCATGAATTTCACTTTGATTTTATATTGCTACTTTTTTCCCTGCTTTTGCTTGTAACTTTATTGTCCATCTATTTATTTTCAATCTTTCTGTGTCATTTTATTTCAGGTACAATTCATAAGGAGAATACAGTTAAATTTTCTTTTTTTTTCACTCAGAGATTTTTGTCTTTTAATAGGGAAATTTAGCTCACTGAGTTTATTGTTATTAATGCTAAGAATGTATTCATACATCTTGTTTTCTCTTTATTATTCTTTATTGTTTTCACCTCTTTTCCTGACTGTTGTGGTTCTGGTGAAGTTTTCTTTGTATGTTTTTTCCCTCAAATTATTTGAAAGTTCTACAACTTTCAATTGTGGCCATTACTTTTAAATTAAAAAAAATTGAATATGCGTATAAATATCAAGAAAAAAAGTGATTATTCTTTATGCCCTGTTCTCTTCCCCAAACATGATAAGACTTTTAACAGTTATAATCCTCTCTCCAGGAACTCATACCTCCTACATTTTATGAAATAAACTGGAATTTAAATTCTACATTATTTTTGCTATTTTAATTTTTGCTTTCCTATGTAATTACCCTGTCTTAATATTTACATTAGATTTTATAAAAACATTATCAATAATTATATTTCTCTGGGTTTTTACTCTCTGGTATTTTTTGTATACCCTATCTTCCCTTTTACTGAGTCTTTATTTAATTGCAAGCAACATCAAAGGCATCACAAAGAAACTTAATTTTTAAAAAAATGGCATTTTGTCTCATTTAACAGAGTTCAGAGGCAAGTTGCAAACACAGTTTGTTGAGGGCTCCAACTCGATTTTTGATTTTCTTAAATCTGCTCTCTTCCTTGTGTTAGCTTCCCTCATTGTATCAGGATGGTTGTAGCAATTCAGGATACACAGCTAAGAAGGGAGAATTGTTTTTCCTTAATCATTGAATAAAGCATTGCCCTTCACTTTAATGAGAGTAACACTAACCAAACTCAGTGGCAAGGAAATGCCATGTATTCATTGGTTCAGACCTATATTATTGTCCATCCCTGATCCAATCACTAGGGTGGGGTGAGGGGAAGGAAATTGTAATGTTCATTAAACTGCTGCCCAGTGGGAGAAGAGTTGCTTGGGAGGCAACTGTGCTATAGTTTTTGAATTCAAATTGATATAGTTTTCATTCAGAACATAGTCCCATAAATATTTCTTCATGTAATGTAGAGATCTCAGATGATGACCTGATTATTTTTCTTTATATATACCCTTTAATGGGAGGTCTGAAATACCATAGAATTTTATCCTTATTTTTTGTCTGCACCACATGGCTTGCAGGACCTTAGTTCCCTCACCAGGGATTGAACCTGGGCCCACGGCAGAGAAAGTGCAGAGTTCTAACCACTGGACTGCCAGGGAACTCCCTAGAATTTTATTCTTTATATTCAAAATTAGAAACTTCACAAGGATATGTGTAAATATGGTTCTTTTTGAAATAATCTTGCCCTTTCAAACTGAATGCACAAATTTATATTTATCTCAGGATATTTTTCTTCTATTATTTGTATTAATACTGTTTCTCCTTTATGCATTCCATTTTAAAAACTGAGATATAATTTACATACAGTAAAATTTACCCTTTTAAAGTGTACTATCCAGTGGTTTTGAGTATATTCACAGAGTTGTGCAACCATCACCACAATCAGTCTTAGAGTATTTTCATCACCCAAAAAAGAAACCTGTACCCATTAGCACTTACTCTCCATTTCCCTCCAAACGTTAGCCTAGATAACCACTAATCTACCTCCTATCTCTGTGGATTTGCCTATTCTAGATATCTCATATAAATGGAATCATATAATGTGTGACCTTTAATGTCTGGCTTATTTTACTTAGCATGTTTTGAAGGTTCATCCATTTTGGAGCATGTATCAGTACTTCATTTTTTAAAAATTACTGAATAATATTCCATTGTATGGATAGACCACACTTGAATTATCCATTCATTGGTTGATGGACATTTGCATTGTGTCTACTTTTTGGCTGCTATGGATAATGCTGCTATGAACATTCATGTATGAGCTTTTGTGTGAATATATGTTTTAAATTCTCTGGGGCATATATCTAGGAGTGGAATTATTGGATCATATTATAACTCTGTTTTGATGAAATGCCAAACTGTTTTCCACAGTGCTACACTGTTTTACATTCCTATCAGCAATGTATAAGTGCTCCATTTGTTATTATAGCTTTGCTAACATTTGTTATTACAGCTTAAAATTTTTTTACAGTCTCTTTTTTTATTATTATGGTTAACTATACATAACATGATATTTACCATTTCAACAATTTTTAAGGGTACAGTTTAGTGGAATTAAGTATATTCACATTTTTGTGCATTCATCACCACCATCCATCTCTAGAACTTTTTTCATCTTCCCAAACTGAAACTTTAACCTTAACCCTAACCCTAACCATACCCATTAAACAATAACTCCCCATCACCTCCTGCCCTCTTCAGGCTCCTCATCCCCAAACGAACCACTGTTCATTCTACTTTCTGTCTCTAGGAATTTGACTACTCTAGGTATCTCACATCCGTGGAATCAAACAGTATTTGTCCTTTTGTGACTGGTTTACTACAATTAGCATAATGTCTTCAGGTTCATGCACGTTGTATGTGTCAGAATTTTCTTCCTTTTTAAAGCTAAATAGTATTCCATTGTATGTCTCCTGTTACTTTTTTTTAAAAAAATAATAGCCATCCTAGTGGGTATAAAGTGGTATATCATTGTGGGTTTTTTTTTTGTCATTGTGGTTTTGATTTATATTTCCCTAGTAGCTAATTATGTTACACACCTTTTTGTGTGATTATTGGCCATTTGTATATCTTCTCTGGAGAAATGTCTATTCAAATCCTTTGACTATTTTTCATTTGGATTATTTGTCTTTTTATTGTTGAATTGTAAGAGTTCTTTATATATTATAGATAATAGGTCCTTATCAGATATGTGATTTGCAAATATTTTCTCCCATACTGTGGGTTATCTTTTCACTTTCTTGATACTGTCCTTTGATGCACATAAGACAGTTTTTAATTTTATGAATCAATTTATCTAGTTTTTCCTTTGTTGCTTGTGCTTTTGGTGTCATGTTAAGAAACAATTACCTAACCTAATGTCAAAGAATTCTATGAAAAGAGTTTTATTGTTTCAGCTCTTACATTTAGATCTAAGATCCATTTTAATTTTTGTATCTGCTGTAAGGCAGATGTCCAAATTCATTCTTTTGCATGTGGATATCCAGTTGTCCCAGCACTGTTTGTTGAAAAGACTATTCTTTTGCCATTGCATTATTTTGACACCCTTGCTGAAAATCAGTTGACCATAGATGCATGGGCTTATTTCTGGACTCTTAATTCTATTCCTTTGATCTATATGTCTATCCTTGTGCCAGTACCACACTATCTTGATTACTATAGCTTTGTAATAAAGTTTGAAATCGGGAAGTGTAGTCTGAATTTTTTTATCTTTAAAAATAGATTGTTTTGGCTACCTGAGTCCCTTGCATTTCCATATGAATGATAGGGGCGGCTTGTCAATTTCTTCAAGAAAGAAAAAAGCAGTTTTGGAATTTTGATAGGGATTGTGCTGAATCCGTAGATCAATATGGGGAGTACTACCACCATACCAATATTAACTCTTTAACTCCAACAACACAGAATGTGTTTCCATTTATTTAGGTCTCCTTTAATTTCTTTTAATGTTTTATAGTCTACAAATACCTATTTGTATTTTGTAGTATACGAATATGAATAGGTATTGGTATACTACAAAATAAGTACTGTAATATATAATATTCCATTTTTGCTTTTAAAACTTCCAACATATAAATATTAGATCTCCTGGGTCTATTTTTAATATCTCTAAAATATTTTCTTTCACAATTTCTATTTCTTTATCTTTTAGTGCTGCACTCTGGAAGGACTCTTTGATATGGTCTTATAATTCACTAAATCAGTTTTCAGCAGCATCTATTTTTCTGTTAACTTCTATAATCTTTTTAACTTAAATATTCATCTATTTTTTAACATCCAAGGACATTCTGGTTCTCAGATGCTCCACTTTCACGACCTGCCCTTGTTGCTCTTTAAATTTCAGTTAAGAACATGAACAGGATTTTAAAAAAAAGTTTTCTCCTATTTCCTGCATTAATTCCATTTTAGTGAGTGATAGCTGCTCTGATTTGGTCCTCTTCTTTCAAATGGTGGATCTTCTCTTTAGGATTAGTGATATTTTTTATCTGCTCATATTTATAAGTGGAGATCTAGATCATTCAGCATGGATAACTGACATCCCATCTGGAATTGGAGAGACCACTGCTCAAGTCCCCATAGTGAGTCTTACCCTCTGAGGATCATGGTGGCAGGGTGGAGGTTGGTATTCAGTAGTGAAACCAGTGAATTGGCTTTGAGTAGGAAAATAGTATCTCCCTTCCTCATAGAAGATAATGGTTATGATGGTACACAGGATGCTGAGCCACCAAGTCTCAAACCTTAAGCTGAGAGAGAAAGGAACAGGGTGAGGAAGCAAAGAAATTAATTATTGGAAACTATGCCCAGGAAAGAACTTTACATGGGACTATTGGCACACAGAACTCAATGGAAGCAAATAAATATGAAGTCTACTAAGTGTATGAGGGAATTGTATGGCCGAATCGCAAACCCAATTAAAAAAAAACTAACTGTAAATGAACTCTCAGGACCCCGAACTTGAACCAACAGGAAATGGGCTGTGAAAACTGTGAAGTCTCCAAGGAGGGCTGTGAAAACTGTGAAGTCTCCCAATAACCACTTCAGATGTGGCCATAGAGGAAAATGAACAAGGAAGAGACTTCCAGAGTGTTGAGCCAAGGGTCACAGAAATTAATGCAAAAGGGTATTCATTCTTGAGAGCAGAACCAGGATGTAATCATAGAACTTCCCCCATCACTGAGACGGAGGATCTTCCCAATAATCACTCAGAAGGATTCCATCATTTATATGGACCCTGACTGCTCTGAGTCATATTTTTCACTGAACATGGTTCTAATGCAGTGTATCTGTGAGAAGCATTTGGGAATCATTGTTATGGAGAAGAGGAGGGATTCGCAGATGATAGCAGTTAACATTTTATAGTCTGCTAGGCACTATGCATTGTCTCAATCCGCACAGCTACTGCCTGAGGTATGTGCTATCGTGATGCTACTCTACAAATGGGGACACTGAGATGGAGTCCAGTAACTTGGTCAAGGTTATATAATAGGTAAGTCTTGGAGCCAGGATTCAAAACTATGGGGCCTAACTCTGAAGTGTTTACACTTAATTCTGTCACATTTTATAATCACAGAAGTCTATTGGGCATGATGAGGGATACATAAACGTCAAAAAGGAGACAAGACATATACACAAATAAATTCAAGGCAAGGGAGTTTGTTATCTAATGAAGGAGACACTGAAACGTTTTCAAACACCAGAATATAGATAGATAACCATCACTAACTTTTTTTTTTTTTGCGGTACGCGGGACTCTCACTGTTGTGGCCTCTCCCGTTGTGGAGCACAGGCTCCGGACGCGCAGGCTCAGCGGCCACGGCTCACGGGCCCAGTTGCTCCGCGGCATGTGGGATCTTCCCAGACCGGGGCACGAACCCATGTGCCCTGCACCGGCAGGCGGACTCTCAACCACTGCGCCACCAGGGAAGCCCCATCACTAACTTTTAACCTTGTTAGGGACTTGTTTTGTTTACTGATGAATCACCAGTTCTAGCTTCGCCATCTGGCTCACAGTAGGTGCTCAATAAATATTTGTTGAATGAATACCAGAGTTCTGTAATATTAGTCTAAGGTCCTTGAGCAACTGTGCCAAATTTACCTTCACATCTTCAGAGTCTAGTGTGTTTGGCGCTCAATGAATGGTCCTTGAACTAAACTAACAGAAAACTGCACTGTGGTTTTATGTAAAGGCTGCTCATTGTTCCCAGTTCCCTTTTCTTTAAAATGGAAGGTGTTCCCCTCCTCAACTCTACAGACCGTGTGGCAGACTGGGTTTTTCAAAAGATTCTCACCCGCTTTAACCTCTCATGAACTTAGTTTTTATTCATGGAGGTGAACTTGAAATCTCAAGTTTCTACTTACTATCTTTTCCACATGTATGACTGGTTTTCCAGTTGAGTTTGACATTTGATTCCTTTTGGATACCTGAGCTATACTCTTAATCAGCTGCACCTTTCTGTGTTGTAGTTATTTAAGAACCACATTGATCTCATTCAGTAAGCCTCTGTTGTGTGCAAGATCCAGGACTGTGGCAATACAGCCATGACTGAGAAAGACATGGTTCCTGCCCTCGTGGCACATAAAAGTGTTCCTATGTGTTTTAAAAGACTGGACAATAGGGATTCAATTGTAAAACAAAGCAAAAAACATTTCTGCTCCTTATCCCCATAAGGAACAAAACGATTAAAAAAAAAGATGGCAGTTGGGCATGTGTTCCCAGTGGAGGAGGGAGAGAAGACAATCCAGATCACAAACAAATCGCTTACTTTTTGCAAGTCACAACTGAACTATGCCTTGAGTTATCTTCTGGTGATTCTGGACTTCCAGTCAGAGTCAATTCCGTCTGTATTGACCAAAAGAGAAACAGGGAAAAAATGCATTTCGGTTCTTAAAAAAAAAAAGAGCAACACGAGCAAACAAAACCCACTGACTTAGGGATCATATGAGATCCACTTTAATTGAAGTTGTCTTTAAACGATAATTGACAATGATACCGAAACAACAGACTGATAACCAACCTGCTCGGGGCCGGGCACGGCTGTAGCATCCCCACTGCCAGGAACCAGCTGACCAGGGTCTATACGGGCCCCAAAGGCACTACAAATTGATCAACTTTTCTTAACCTAGACTCTTCCACCACATCCAGCATGGACCTGCTTCTTCCAGGGTGTGGGCCATCAGTAAAGGAGTCTAGTCGCCCATCTCTGGCAACAACGACAGTTTAAAAAAAAATGGAGCTACAGCTCTAGTAACAAAACCCACCAGCTGTGAAAAGTGGAGACACATCTGTCACTATCGGGCCTCAGCATCTCTGGAGAACGTTTGCTCCCGCCGCGGCCGTCAAGGCCCTGGGCCCGCGGTTAGTGGCTGCCCTGCGGGCGGAAGAGCCTTCTCGTCCCGGCAGGCTCGGGGCAAGCCACCACGAGCAGGCAGCCTCCGTGAGCGCCCGGCCGGGGTCGGCGGGCCGGAGGGCGTGCTCGTTCAGGAGGCGCCCAGGCGGTTCTGGCCGGAGCTCCCGGGTCGGTGTGGTTTTGTCCCCATCCTGCCCCCGCCCCACCCCCCCACTCCCCTTCATGCAAAAGGCCAAGGGGTTTTGACCCACCATCGCCCAGACCGAGTTCACCCTTAGGGCCCTTTCGCCGCCGTCCAGAGGACAGAGAAAGCAATCGCGCAATGAGGCGAGAGCACTCTGTGAATGAAGGTGGAGTCGGCGAGAAAATCATTTTTCTTCTTGGCTGCGCGAGTCAGCCGCCCCGGGGGGCAGGCCTCCTTCCCAGAAGACCCCCTCCACACACCCGCGCCCTCCACGCCCTTCAGTGGCCACACGCATCACTGGTGCCGCGGAGTTTGGAAATGGAGGCGCGAACACGCTGGGCTGCGGGCTCCACACGGGGTGGGGGTGGGGGCGTTCCCGGAGGGTGAGCAGGGAACCGTGCGCCCACTCCACTCCCGGAGGGCCAGGGAGCCCTGAAGGGCCCTCGCGGGCGCCGAGGCGGCGGAAGACCGAGAGGCGGGGCGGGGGGGGGAGGGGGCGCGGGGGTCCCCGCCGGGGAGCTTCTAGGGAAGCGGGAGGGGCACCACCTGAGGAATCCGCCTCCGGCCGCGGCGGCCGCCGCCTCGCTCCGCCCCGGGGAACTGAGCGCGCGGCCAGCTTGTCTGCCAGAGAGACGCCAGCCACCGGCGGCGCTAGCACCTCGGAGGAGGGCGGCGAAGCGAGCGGAGCGCGGCGCTGCGACCCGGACTGGGGGTGGGGAGACGAGCCCCGCCGAGGCGAGGGCCACCCCCGGTCCTCTGCCCTCGCGCGCTGCCAGGGCCAGGTGAGCGGCTGCGGGGACTCTGGGCGCGGGGAGGCGGGGAGGTGAGAGGTCGCTCGCCGGGCGCGAGTGCACGCCTCTGCCCGGCAGGGGCTGCCCTTTGGCGGGCTGTGGACACCCTGCCTGCGCGGGGAGGCGCAGCGGCTGACTTCTTCTGGAGGGATCGGAAGGCGGAGCGGGGGTGTGAGCGCCGGTGCGTTTGTGTGGCGAGGGCGGGCGCCCGTGCCAGCCCCGGACCCGAACCCTCGCGTCAGCCGCCTGAGGAGACCCAGCCCGTGCGGTCCGCGCCCGGAGGCCAAAGGCCTGTCACCTCGGCTCTCGGCGCCGCCTTTGTGGCGGGAGCGAGGGAGCCCGAGAGGGGGCTGAGGGAGGCAGCGGCGCGGCGGGGAGCGCCCGGGACCGGCTCCCCCAGCGTGAGGGCTGCTGAGGGGGGTGGCCCAGGCGGGGGAACGGTGGGTAGGGAGGCGCGGAGGTGACGCGGGAGGATGGAGAGAGCTCAGAGGGGCAAAGTTGAGAGCGTCCAGCGGTGGCTGGGCGTTTGCTCAGGGTCCCTGGGCTGCTTTGCTCCACACCAAATGTCACTTGGTCACGAGCGCGCGCGCGTGTCTTCCGGCCATCATTTCCCTTTTTCGTGAGTGAGTGAGGACGACCACTCTTGTGCTGAATGAGACACAAAGGGTTGTGTTGACAGCTGACCCTGACACGAGTAGACAGCGAGGTGCGGTGTGTGCCCTGGCCGGGGAGGGTGATGATGAGGCGGTTTGTTAATCAATTCCCTCAGTCCCTCTTCCGAGCTCCGTGAAAAGAAGCGATAGGTACAGATGCAGTTCGCGGGGCTTCTCAGTTAAACAGAGCCCAAGTCGGGTCCAGAACCCGATTCATCTGCTTGGGGACAGCTGCTGCCTCCCGCAGAGGCGACGGAGCCCGGATCCCGGAGAAACTCCTCGATCCTCTCCTTTCCTCAAGGAACGTGACTGTTTCAAGGTCCGTATCCCCACCGCGGCCTTCTGTCTCCTGTTAAAAAGATAGAAACCACATTTTAATTTCTGTTTTTCACCCCTTAAGAGTCCCCTCTCCACCTCGCCCTTGAGGTGGGAAAACCCGCTTAAGTCTCATGTTAAAATCTAGCCATTTAAATATGGGGAAGAGCTTGTCCGAAAAAGGTTTTTGAATTAAATGCCGCCCTTAGAAACCTCTCTTTCCTCTGAACATTAAAAAAAAACAAAAAAACTTTAAATCCTGGAATTCTCTTTGAGTTTTGTGACTGTGTTGCTTCCTTTTCTTTCAGAATATTTCTATGTAGTTTTACAAATTGCAATACTGAAAACTTAAAATGGAGAAAAAATTTAAATTGTTTTATTAAAAATAGTACTAGAATTACGTGCATGTAGGCACGTGTTTAAAGGGCAAGTTTTAATTAATGAATATCGGAAAGTTATATGCATAGGGTAGAAATTGCAAACAGCAGTGTAAAGTTTGCCCTCTGTCTCAGAGACCCGTACTCCCAATGCCCTAGTCCTCCTCCTCCCCAGAGGCAACCACTCTCCTCAATTGTATATCCTTCCATAAGCCTTCTATTAGAATGGAATTACATTGTGGAAATAGAGGATGAAGGGAACTGAATATGTAAGACTGAACTGTGTCTCAGTGGTGATGGCTCTTAATTTGATATCCACTCCTGATGATATTAGATCCTTTTATTTAGCCTAAGGCACTTATCAGAGTGCTTAAAAATCTTAGAACAAGTATTCAGTGCAAAGCAGAACTATTAAACTGTTATCCCCCCCTCCCTCCATCACCAGTTTCTCTACACTTGGTTTTTTTTAACCTTTGTTGGATTTTTCTTCCATTTTGGAGCTCTTTAGGAAGTAGAGAATGAGAACTGTAGTTTATTCTATCCAGTGCTGTGCACATCTGAAGACATTGAAAGGATATATGAATACTCCCATTGACATGAGATAATATAAAAATTTCAATGGTATGGGAGAAATAAGAAGGCCAAGTTTAAGACATTTGGTCACATCTCTTAGTTCCAGGCCTGAATTTGCCATAAACTAGCTAAATGAAGTAACTTTCTAAGAAATGCTTTTGTTTCCTACCCCAGTTAAATAAAGGAATTGAACCATGTGGCTTCTGAGTGTCCTTCCGACTCCAAAATTCTGTGATTTTTGGTAAAATGGTAGTTCTGTAGGTGTCCTAAGATTGGCTAAGGATAAACCAGTTGGATCTGTGGGTATTAGACAGTGGAGTGACAAAAAAAAAAAAATCCTAAATGGTAGATTCATAAAGAGGAAGTCAGAGATGTTTAAACAACATTTCTGCTCTTATGAGATTGATATCATTGGAGAACAGCTACTTTACTTTCCCACAAAATGTCTGTTTATGTTACTGATAGAGGCCAAACCCTGAATGGCCCTCTGTGCATCACCTTGTATGGCTAAGGAGAGTGAATTTTCTTCACAGCTCACGGTGCCATTTTTAGGGAGATTATTCTTACCAAACTCTTACTTTTCTTTTTGGTAATGTGGAAATAAAGTTCATTGACCTACTTCAAAGGGACTTTACATAATTTAATTAGTGATTCTACAAGTATTTAGAAAATGAATAATCCTTATAGCTAAGCTATTTTAGTTACTTTATAAGTATTCACTTAGAGATCATGTTCTTAGCAGGAAACTTTTCTAATCTCTAAAACACCTGAAACTAATGATTCCTGGATGGGTGCTGAGAGCTGAGGAGTGATTTCAAGGTTATGAAAGTAAAAACAATTAGGTGATTTTAATCACTTTATATGATCTCAGTTAAGGGATTTCAAACTTACACCGTAAGTGGTGGTTACAAAAATCATTCATGTTAAAGAAGGAGATCTCATACTTTGAAGATTCTGAGTCAATAATAAACAATATTATGTAATTAGTTTGAATGTCAGTAATATAAATAAATTATAATGGAGTTTTAGGAATTGTTTGATTGGGGTGATAAGAAATATGAACTAGAATGGTAGATTTGTAAGGGTGCTTAGAGAAATCTTGATTGACAAAACTAACAAAAACAAAAGAAAATTAAGTACTAGTACTAGTAATGAAGTTCTTCTAAAATGGAATAGTTTTTGTTTTTTGCATCTTCCTTCCCACCCTTACCATATGAATATGTATTTTTACAGATGTCTTACCATATTGCAGGCACATTTTTACTCTGATTTTTTTATAAACATTTTTCCATAATTTACTTTCTATTGTTTGCAATTAGTTTATTGTATCATGATTTACTTAACTCCTTCTCTATTTTATGATTTTCCAGTTTTTTAAAAAAATATAATGGCCACCCACATGAATGAGACTTTCTTATTCTTCTTCTATAAATTAAAAAAAAAAAACGAACTTCAAATTATTTCCCTAGAGAGGCAGTATAGGTGAGCTCTAAAATTAAAGGTTCAGTGTCCAAACATAGCTCCATCACTTATGGGTAGTATTGGGCAAGTAACTTATTTTCTTAGAGGTTTCTAATCTGTAAAGTGGGTATAGTAATAGCTCTCTACAAGGTTAAGATAAAAAGCAGTAATGCATGAAAACACATGTAAATGTTAGCTCTGTTTTTAATTAGGAAATTTTTGTAATTTCAAAATTACTTTCCAGGAGGATTACATAAATTATACACAACAGCAATGCGTGTGCTTATGTAATTTTATTTATGTAATTTTAAACATTTATATTATTGTGACTAATTTGATCAGTGTAAAATTGTATCCCTTTGTTTTGATTTGTATTTCTTTGGTCTTGTGTAAACTGAGAGTTAGTTTTCTCAGCAGTATTGCTACAGTTTTCTACTTGGAGTGGTGGAAATTTCATCACCTCAGTCATTTTGAACTAGACTATAAGACAGACAAATAGGACAGGTCAGTTACAACACTAATAAGTGAACCAAATTTTCCAATAGGTTCTTTCAGATTAGTTGTAGTTTTCTTGTATTCTCAGCCGATGGTAGTTTTTATTCATTATTATTATTTTTAATCTTAAAAATATAGCTGTTAAAATTAATAAATAATGTTATATATCAATTCTATTTAAGCGAAAATGCAATCTTCTCTTTTTTCCCTTGAAGGGCTGATTTATAATTAGCATTATTATGATCCAATTTAGTGGATTTTTGCTAGGAATGCTTCCTAAAACTTGGGGGGAAAAAATCAGAGAAAGTTTCATGATCGCTAATCATGTTATCTTTTGGCTACCAATGGATAATGAAGTTATATCCTCTAACTTGAGTTCTTATACAGTCAAGGTAATTTAGACTACACAAAAGCATGCTCTTGTAAGTTCTGGAGTTCCAGCA